TTTTCTGGAAATATCAGGTTTGCATTCCTATTGGCACAGTCTGGTATAGCGTGTCAGACTGTAGAGTTGAGCTTTTTACATTTTGACTATGTGTAAAATCTATCCAGGGACACTTGTCCCAATCACTGAAATCCTGATTTACAGTTCCTAAGTTATATTGGAGGAATTTGAATTTTAACAGTCAAACAGATTTTTAAAATAAAAGAAAATTGTAATAAATTCTTTTTAATTAGCAATGGCTGTGTTCCTGGCTGATTTTTCTCCCACAAAGGTTGACAAACTGTGAAGAAGCTCACAAAGTACACTTAGTTTCTTGGCAATGATTTTTTTAAAGTAAGCTTTGTGTGGAATACTTGTTTGAGATATCTATCCATATAGCTAGTAAACTATATACATTTGTATAATTTAAATTCATGTATTAGGTCAAATTGTTTACAATCTCCGCAAAATACAATTTAAAATAGAATTCATATTGAGGATGAACACAGATCCATCTGTGTTCTCTCAAAGTGTAGTTTCATGTAATAAAGATTTCCATACACTGATGCAAACAGCTCTTCATCAAAATGCTTATTTGGGATCATCTGAATCCTACCTGTATAACTAAAGCAGGTGAAACTCTAGGGAGGCCACTAAGCACTGGCCATAAGTACTGGTAGGTCTAAAATGGGTAGTATGTGAAAGACTGGCCTTTCAAATCACACTGAAGAACAGGTTGGTGAAAAACCCTTACAGCTGCCAAATACCAAATAACAGCTTTAACTTCCAGTGCAACCCACCCACCATTAATGCAGTGTTCCTAAACTGTTGCCAGAGGTGGACATTATATCTATCTATGCTTATTTGTACCACTAAATCCTAACCCAATGTCTGAGTTGTTTATTTTATTGTTGTTATTGAGAACAAGCCATGCATCCATTTACAATTTTAAAGCAAAATAGTTGGTTTTTTTTAGATCCCACAGTTAGTATCTTTCTCTGATTCTTACTACAATTTTGGGTTTCATAGATATACCAAAATGTATTTTAATTCTCACAAACAAAGCTAACACAAAATACTATCAGCTTTATATATAATATAGATACCATCTATATTTTCTAAAAGAAATTTACTGGAAAATTTCTTTTTATCCCATGTGCAGATATTTTTAACCTGCAGCTCCAGTGACTGATGCCATTCATGGAATTCATATTAGTACATTCTGTTGTTTGCATGCTTCCTCAAATATAATGCTGCTCTAAGGAAACACCTGGGCATCTCCCTACATATTCTACACCCATCCTGGTTTTGTAGGTGAGCAGTAGAAACAATCATACACAGTTGCATCAGTCAGCAATCAGAAAGTCTACTTTAGTCATTACTTTATGCTCTCTCTCCCATAAACCTACATTAATTCTTTTGAAGAATGATTACAAAATACTCCTGAAACACACAACTCAGTTCATTATATCACATCACATTTGCTAACCTTCTACATAAAATACAAAGCTATATTAATGTGTCCCTCTGCCCCATCCCTATTTCTTTGTTATTCTTTTTACAGAAATATATGTTCATGTGTTTTTTAATGCACTTAACCAAAATTCAAAAAGATTACAGTGAAAATATTAGAAATATTTAAAAGAAATGATGTAGCCGGGCCATGGTGGTTCACGTCTTTAATCCCAGCACTCGGGAGGCAGAGGCAGTCAGATCTCTGTGAGCTTGAGACCAGCCTGGTCTACAAGAGCTAGTTGAAGGACAGCCTCCAAAGCCACAGAGAAACCCTGTCTCAAAAAAAAAAAAAACATAAAAAAGAAATGATGCAATTAAAATGTTGAGGCTGGGAACACAGGCAGTGAGAAATGAAAGACATTACAGCAAGACAGGAGAGCCAAGCTGGCCAGACAAGAAGCATGGCCGTTTTCTAAAAAACAAAGCCATCCTTAGCAAACTCTGAATGGCTCTCGGAAATCACCACTCTCAGGTCTCTGCCTCCACAATGCACCCTGTTCTCATTTTCTATTGTTATGATTAAACACCATGACCAAGACAACATTTAAAAGAAAGATTTAACTATGCTTAAAGTTCAAGAGAGTTAAAGTTCATAGTGGCAGAACAAAGACATTGCTGCAGAGGGCTGGAATAGCAGCTGAGAGCTCTTATCAACAGAAGGTGGAGACAGAGATGTGTCCAGAGTGCTGCAAGTCTTTAAAAACCCCAAATCCTACCACAGTGACAAACCTCTTCCAACAAGGCCATACTTTCAGATCCTTACACAAACAATTCCATCAACTGGGAAGCAAGTCTTCAAATACATGAACATATGAAAACCATTCCATTCAGATTACCACATACCTTCACCTCGGGAACATATGCTGGACATCATTGCCCATTCACATATGTGCAAGGAAACAGACTGGACTCTAAGTACAATATCTCAAAAAGTCTCTTTGCATTCCAGGATGAGAGTATGTAAGATCACCTGATAGATAATGGGCTAGATATTAGATAACATAGGAAAACTGAAGTTGCATCTTGGCAGTCTTGTCTACTGGTGGTCAGAATTCTTTGTAGTTAGATATCCTTAAATGTATGTTTATGTTTTTGCCCTATGTCAATCTACACTTTTGCACAAAGACTCTGTATTTTCAAAATGCCTGGCACAGTTATAATTAATCACAATGTAGGCTTTAGTTCCTTTCCTTTTTGCTGAGATCATGGGAGAAAGAACTTGGAAATGAGATTTAGTCCATTGTGATTTAGACAAAAAAGGCTCATCTTATAAATTGAATCTGAATTCATAAACATGTATTTAAAATCCAAAGTGTAGACCCCACTAGGTTGCTTCTTTGACTAGGCGTAGCATGGTTCAGCCTGTCTTTGGAGTGTTTTGCTTAGCTTTACTAACTAGTTGCTTTGCTAAATAAACTTCACCCAAACTATCTTGACTAAATCCTTTCCTTAAGGGATGGGTAGGGTGTTAGTTGTGGGGGGGTGCAAGGGAGGAGGGAAGGAAGAGGGACTGGGATTGACATGTAAAATAATTTTCTTGCTAAGAAAATAAAAAAAAATAAAGACAAGAACAGAACAAGACCCAAATTATTGTCTGTGTATAAATGTCTTATATTTATATTTCATAAAACCCAACAATAATCTTTAGTTCATTCACCACAACCTATTTCATTTGTTTAGGTCATTCAATACATTTTAGTAAGCCAGCTTTTTCAACTTCTGTATTGGCTCAGATACAATGAGAAGCTCCATTGGGCAGTAGCAATCCTGGCTGTTAGCATACTCCTTAAGGCTCTCTTGTCAGCTTCGAACCTTCCTAACACAGTTCTTTCTTAAAGCTGACTCCTACCTGTCAATCAGATCTTAGATTGAATGTTTTCATTTTTAAGAGATTTTTCATGTTCACCCAAATATAAATAGCCACAGAGTGGCTACCAATAAATGGAGTTTTAGATGTAAGCATACTAGTCAAAATACACTTTCAAGAATAATATATGCTGTATAAATTCATTATCATTTCATTTTGTATTGTCTGTGTCTCTGAATACGCTGCTAGTTGTCATCAAAAAAGGAAAGTGGTTTGGTGTTTGCATACATTTTGATAATTCTTCAGATAGTAAATGGTTGACAACATGACTTAGTTGTGTCTCAGAAATGTACCAAGATTAAATCGTTTAAGAAATTGAAAATATTCTTATTCATGTATTTGTACATATGATTGTGTGTATGTGTGTTGGGAGAGAGAACATATGGATCATTTTACTACTACAAAAATGTAGAGAACCAAGGACAACTTCTGGAATGGGCCCTTTCCTTCCTACTTTTCTGCCTTGTTTAAGACATATTTAATTTACATGTGTCAAACTCCTTTGCCTATGTGCCCCTGGGGGTTCTCTTAGCTCCACTTCTCACCTTATAGGAAGACAGGGTTAGAGGTACTCAGTTCTGCTTCAATCCACTTTTCATATTGTTGGAGAGCTGAGTCATAAGAATCTCAGTAATGCAGCTGGCATGACATTGGCTCTGAGGATCTAAACTCAGTTCCTTCCACCCATACAGCCAGTCCATTAACCAAAGGAGCTATTTTTTTCTGTCTCTGAAACAGATAAATTCTATGAAACCTCCATATCAACAAAAGGGATTTTGCCTAATGGATAATTGATAGGAAACAATTTGAAATTTATCTTTTACAATTAGAAGGGTAAATAAAATTAAAAAATAAACAAAACAGTATGTTTTATTCCCTGAATATTAAAATAAACAAAAGAAATAAAGGAAATAGTTTACTAGCTGCTGGAAAGCAACTATTGACCAATAGATGAATTATTTTTGATTTTTTTATTAATTCAAATTAGGAACAAACTTATTTCACATATCAATCCCTTATCAATAGATGAATTTTGAAATGTATTTGAAAGTAGAGAAATGATTTCCTTAGTCTGAGCTGAGATTTTTAATTCCATTTTTGTCTTTCAAAACTGGAAAGTGCAGCAATATCCTTTTGCAGCAAGAGAACTAGATTCTTTGTACAGCCCTATTCAGTTTCTGACCTGTGGGATTTGTCTGTTTTATTTTGACTAATCCTAATTCATGAAATTTCCCATGAAAGACTTGGATGATCTGACTTTATATATGTTTCCTTTTGTGTGTCGGTTTAGAAAGAGTTAATCACTTCTAATATTAGTTCCACTGTAGCCTGGGGCCAGTACAAGCGAATAGAGCTGCTTTTTTGGAAAAGGTGACCAAGAGCCTATCTCTAGAAGGTAATTGCAAAATAATCAGATTTGGAGAAAGAAGTAGATAGATATTCAGCTGGCTGACAAGAGGTAATGGCATGTGCAAGATGCAGAGGTAGAACTTAATGAGTCATATACAGGAAATGGTATAGAAATCTATTTGCCAAAGGGAAACAAGACTTCTGATAATGTTTCTATCTTTCCCTTTTCTGATTTATATTTTCTATTCAGATTTCTTTTAATGAAATGAGGAAGACATCAATATGGAACTCGAGTTTGACTTTTTTTTTAATTCCAATGCTGTAAAAATAATTTTATCAGTTCAGAAGCTGCCTTCTTGTTCTTGCAAAGGAAACTGTTTCACACAATCTACGTGGTTATAATAATGCATCACTCTGGCAGGAGACAGCCATCGTTTTTGTGAACTAGCTACAGCAGGTTTCTCTACTCTCATTACAGTAGAGAAGATTTGATGATTCATTTCACATCCTGCAGATAGAAGGCACATACATAAGAGGCAGCAAAGCTCCTGGACTCCAGGCAGAAGGTGAAACAAATGCCAGAACTTTATGACAGATATCATTTATACATGCTGTGTTAACTTCAATGCCAGTATTTTCATAGGCTCTTGTAGATGAAAAGACACTTATTTTCTGAATATGCATGCAAATATGATTTGTACAGACACAGTAAATCAAAGGGGGAAAAAGAGCAAACTTTCAGATCTTAACTAATCTTTTAGGAAGGAATGTTTATTTTACATAAGATTGGAGTTTTTAATTTAAGTCTTAACAAAGAAAATATCTTTATAGCAATTTCTCTTTCACCAAAAGACACTCACTTATCATGACTTAAATATTGCTAAAATTACCCTTCATTCTTTCTGTACCTCTTCTTTGGCAATGCTAAAATTCAAGTTTCTTGAATATGGTAGCACTTAAGTAAAACTGACATTTCTTCTAACTTCTGTCAATTTCTCCTGAAAGCTGAGGAAGGAACAATTTTGTCAATGCTATTATTTACCTACTTAGTTTTACAAAAAACTAAAAAAAAAAAAAAAGATTTTTCTTCCTACTTTTGTCAGATCTTCTGTCGTATTAGAATGTTTGGTGCATTTGGAAGAAGTAAATGTTAATCTTTACAGAAACAAATTATGGTTTCCAAATTAATTACTGTCATGTGTTCCTGTAATTTACTTTAACAGCTGTCCCATTTCCTTCCTTTTTACTAAAAGAAAACCAAATGTAGTGATATCCTATACCTGCAAAATATAACTAAGGGAAAAGAGAAATTAGTCATGATAATACATTCTCTAATGTTGTATACTAACTAGTGAATAAATTATGTATGTCGAAACCCTATCACTTTTATCTAATATACATATTTTACTAGTTCTAAACTTCTTAATATCATTCAAACTTGCCGAATTTTGTAAGTTTTACTTTAGTGACATCCACATCAACTTTGATCAATCCTTTATGTATTGCCTTCTTAATTGAGTTATCTTCCAAAACATTATTTCAGCACAACTTCATGCAACTGGTCCTTGTACAACTTCATGATAGACATCATTACAAATTCTGTGGTAACTATTATGTTAGGCATGTGCTTCCTTCTCACTAAAATTAGCACCATCATATCAAGTTCAAATAAACTTCCATGACATGACAACTTGCTAATTTCTAGCCAGAAATTTACACATTTCTTATATATTAGTGTTCTAATATTCCCCACAACAGATTCTGTTTGTGATATTTTCTCGAATTTTATTGCAAACTTCCATTTTTCAAACATTTATATTTTCACACTTCAAAAATAACTGATCGAAATGAGCTAAGTAATCTCTGTAGGATGTTAATTGTATCATCTAATCTTTCTGGTTAAAAGTTTGAATATCTGTCACAGTTCAAAGACTTAATGGCTTTCTTTTGGGATATTTCTAATGTTGTGGTTTTGCTTTTTCTGATTATTATTGTTATGTATAGTTTTCTTCCCAATTAAAACATACTGGTGTTTCATAATATTCAGGAAATAAACAAAACTTAAGGAAATCAAGGATGTTTTTCTTTTCACATTCCCAATAACTATAAATCCCTTTCCATTGCTATATCTTAAATACTACCAATTTTCTTGTGTAGTCAGTTCACAGTGTGATGCAGGTTGTACAGGGATTTCCAGGAATATATTCTTTCATTTTTAATCATCCTTGATGTGCTAGGCTTTTTAATGTTGCCCCTGCCTTTGAAATACACATGTTCCAGTGATTAATCTCTGCTTATAAACCCATAAAGTCAAGATTCAATGAGTTAAACTTCAATGGAATCATTTCTTACACATTTTGTTAGTGATCTAATTGGGGTCAACAGATGTTTGCACACATCTCTATAGGAAAAGCCACACAATACACTTGATAACTGAACAAGGACAAGAAAAATGAAGATGAATTGGGAGGGAGAGAAGGCCTCTACACTAGGTACTGAATCAGGGAACAGGTTGATCTATATGAGGATGGATTTGTGTGTGAAATCCTGATATGGCTATCTTTCCTTGTGTTGTTTGACATAGTATGGGTCCTTGCTCCTTATGATGAGTGATAAGAATTGGTTTCAATCAAGGACCAGCCTTCTGGATATGGAAAGTCCTTGGAGTGATTCCTACTGTAGAGATCTTCTTCCAACTTAGAAGGTAGAGACATGTCCCCTTGATATCATTGTAGATCACAAGGCATTCCTCTAATGACCAGCTTTTTCCCATAGCAGACCTTGCAGAGGTAAAGTGAGAAATGTGATAGTAAAAATAAAGACATCTCTTCCCTTATTCATTTTATGTTATATTACATTATAATCTAATTTTTATGACTTGACTTTCACTGATTTCACATAATACTAGTTTTATTCATATGTTATGCTTCTTAATAATTGTTTCCTTTTAAAATTATCAACTTGCCTAACAATATTTCATAAGTTTCTCAAGCCTCTATATTTAGGACATTGTCTGAATTAATGATTCATATAATTAACCTAATTAGTACTTATGTTAAGAAATAATGCATATTTGCAGAGTGTATTAAACATATTTTCTTGGCTGGCAATATGATTCAGCAGATAAAGGGGATTACTACTAAGCTTGAATAAAAAGATGGGTTACATATGCCAAATCCACATGGTAGAAGGAGACAACTGACTCCTGAAAGTTGTCATCTGATGTCCAAATGTCTGAGGTAACACATACATGTGTTTACACTCACAAATAAATACATGTAAAAATTTCTAAAAAAAAAAAAAGAAAACATAGTTGAAAATTGTGAATTGTTCTGCTGATGGGTTGGAGTAGGCAAGGAGGAGTAAGAGAGACAACTGTGGTTAGAATGTAAAATTATATTTAAAAGAACAAATACATTAAAAAATAAGTCTTTTGCTACTCAGAAAGCAAATTGGAACATTTGCATTGGAATGTTAGTGTGTTTTGAAAGTGGAATCTTCTCTATAACAAATTTCCCTTGGTCCCCAGGTGTTTGGTCAATGTAGGAAGGTTGTGAATCCTTCAGGAGTTTAATATCACTGGGAAAAGAGCTATCTTTTATTCAAGCTCTACTTCCTGTTAACTTTCTGCTTTCCAAATGAACATACAATGATTAACATAACCTCCCAGATGATATTACACTAACACATATGAAATTATTCTTTGTAACCTTGTAAATATTAATAGACAGTTCATCAAATGCAAATACTTGCAAATATAGAGCAAGCTGCATGGTCATTCTCAAAGCTTTTGGTTATCTTACATTTGATTTATCTGTAATTTCCACTCCATCAGGCAAAATTGTGTTCTTGGTTACTTAAATTTTGGCATGGTAATCTATGCAAATGCTCTGTCATATATCTAGAGTATGAAAAAATAATTCAGACACAAATTTTGATGGCTAATTGTGAATTGTTACCATATTTGATATGATCCAAGATTTTTTTCTTAGAGGCAATTACCAGCTATGTCTCTTTCCTGAAGTCTCCTGTCCTTCAAACTAGTCAGCGTTTCTACATCATATCTTAGGAATAAAACATCCTGGTTATGAGGGAACATGTAATATTTAATAAATACTATGCATCCTCCCCATTCACAAAATGTGATGCTTGGCCAATGGGGGGAACTGTAAACAAAACTGAACAGAAGCTTTGTCGAGTTGTTACCAAAAACTCATAAACGAGATCATTGTCTGACAAAAATGACTGGAGAGAATTTCAGTACTGTGGAGAGATTAGATTATTCCTATGTCTAGAAATTAATTACCTTATCTTGGGATAAGTTCTATCAACCAGGAATAACCATCCTCCTGCACTGCCACCATCAGAATTAACATCTTGTCCCAATTAAAAAATACTTTCTCTATTGACTTAGCAAACAGCTAGCGTCTATTTTTCTACCAATCTGAAATCTAAGAATGCCATTAGGTAACTCTTTGAGCCTTTAGGAAAGCATTGCTCATCTCAATGTCCCCACCAATGTATTTTAATCTTGCCTTGATTTGTTACTTTCTCTGTCTCACAAAATTATTAAAATATAGTAGTACTGCGTACAGGAAGGAGCAAGAAATTTTGGTAACATAAATCTGTGCTCCTGGGCAACAGTTACTCAAAAGTTTCCTGAACAAAATACCTATTATCTCATAAAAAGAATTCATCTTACAATATTATATGTCAAACCATCATTAAATGATAAAGTAGATTTACTAGTTTTATTTATGATGAAACATATTTACAAAATTACTGAAGTGGAATTATGAAGTAAATTAAATAAAACAATTATTTTCTGATATGAAAAATGACAGTCACAGCCTGGATATATGACTCATCCATATATGCATATTGTCTCTGTGTCTCTCTGTCTCTCTCTATATATATGTATATATACATACATATGTATACACAAACATATATATATATATATATATATATATATATATATATATACCAGTGATTCTGTTATCATTGGACAACTGAACTCAGGTACACATAATTAAACAAAACACACAGATACACACACACACACACACACACACACACACACACACCACAATTTATTTTCAAGGCTGTGAATTCCAAACATATTTTTGAATATGCTGATCAGTCATCCTGCCAGTCTACTATATGTTTAACCAGTCATAAAGTGTTGTTTTTAAACTTTTAATTATAATGGTACATGAATCACTATGAGAATTTATGTGAACATTATTTATATTTACTTTTATATTCATTTTAATGCGATTTTAGCATTATGGTCTATAGTGGGAAATTACCTATACTGAGTCAGGTAGAAATATAAGGGTATTTAATAGGGAAAAGCCTTACTTACAGAGCGACCTAGCCAGCTGGTGTGGCAGCAGTCTGTACAGCAAGTACCAAAGTGAAACAGAAAGAGCAAAAGCAGTCACACTACATCACTCTGACCACGCCCTCACAAGTGTGGTCAGCCACACCTGTAGCCAGCCCCTAAGAAGGCGTGGTTACAGCTTCCTCTACAATTCCCCTTTTAGTCTAAAAGACGATTAAAAGTTTAAAGTATCCAAAATTAACAATCATAAAGGTAAAAATTAAGAAGATACAACAATCTGCTTATGTCACATCATAACTATCTATTTTAACTAAACCCTAAAGTCATCTGAGTTATCCAAGCCTGAACACCTCGTTCCAATCCCAACCAAAAACAATAGGAAGCTATCCCTAACTAGGTATATACACTATCCTAAGTGACAACAATGGGGAAGCTGTAGCCACACCTTCTTAGGGGCTGGTTTTTCTACCATGGTAGCTGGGTACACTAATGGTGTAAGAGTAACAACCTTAGAAGAATAGTCACGATAATTGGGTGGAGTAGGGCCTGGGATTGGAGTGATTATGCTTCTGAGGCATCCAATGATCTTTAAGCCTAGCAATGGTATCCTTTTGAAAAGTTTCAATCTCCTTAATCATAAAAGATTCCAAGCATGTTAGTGAATCTGTAAATTGCTCTAACTGCTCATCTACATGTTTTTCTAGGTCTTTAATACGATCATCCTTAGGCAGCATCTGGATGGCATGGAAACTGCCTTCTAGGTATTGGAGTCTAGATTCGAGGTCATGATTTGCTGATTTTGAGTCCTCAGCAATGGACAGTATGGACCTATGTAATCTGTCAGCCCTGTACTGTAAATTATCTTCCAAACATTCAAATCTAGACTCAAATTTCTGATCTGCTACCTTGGATGCTTAGATAATTGATTGAATGGCATTTTCGAATTCTTCAACCCTATCCTGGGTATCTTGCACTTTTGCATCTAATTTCTGGGTAACATTGCCTATCTGAGTTTCTAACTGGCTACAGATATTTTTTAGCTCATCAAGGTCTTCTGACAGCCTAGCCTCTAAGGTCTCAGACATGGCTGTACTGTAAATTATCTTCCAAACATTCAAATCTAGACTCAAATTTCTGATCTGCTACCTTGGATGCTTAGATAATTGATTGAATGGCATTTTCGAATTCTTCAACCCTATCCTGGGTATCTTGCACTTTTGCATCTAATTTCTGGGTAACATTGCCTATCTGAGTTTCTAACTGGCTACAGATATTTTTTAGCTCATCAAGT